CTGCAAAGATCCCCTTGTCATAAACAATACAGATTACAGTCATTCAAACAATTAGATAATTATGAAAGTTTACAGGGATATCAAAAGCATCAGCATAACAAGAAGCAGACTGCTCAACTCAGAGCGACAAAGCAAGAACAGCAGGAGGGAGGTTTGGGGGATACAAGATAAAAAGCATAGATAGTTTTTTAATGGAAACAACATAGGGCAAAAGCGCTTCCTACAAAAGTTTTAAAAACTACTTAATTCATCATGGCATAAAGATATTTGGATTAGTTTTCTTATAACCAGTCAAAAGTTTCTCATTTAGGGATACTGTTATACCTGTCCTTAACAGCTCCCAGACTAAACAATGCCAGGCTTTCCTCCCCACGGGAATTTCACCAATTATGTTAGTGGAGGTCATCCAAGTAGCCCCTCTCCTGTTCCTTCCACTCCAAATATCCTTTCAAATGATACAACATAGGCTGATACCCTCCTCACAGAGAGGCCATCCAGGCTGCAAGAATAGCTGTTCAATGCCTCAGTCTATTGCCTCGCAGTCAGGTGACTGAAGTTACCAAATTCAGCAGGTAACCCTTGTATAAATCTAATATTTGAGATGAAGTTAGGCATCACACTCCAGCCTCTACAGACAGAGTGCTTTTTCATTAAATGTTTGTGCTTTCCTTTCATCAGACAGGCAGGAGTACAGCTTTATCTTCCTTTCAGGTCCTGCCCTGGAGCCCACCACCTCACCTAGCTGCTAGGAGCTACCCTTAATACATATTAGCTGACTCTGGAGCACCTAAAGAATTAACCTTCCTTATCTCAAGTCCTCTGCTCATACCCACCCTTCTCTCTCTTCCTCTTATAACTGTACTTGCTTTACAATTTCCTTCCTCTCTTGTGTTTGATGTGGTTACGTAAGCCCTGTCAGCCCTCATCTCCTCCACCTGGAGAAGTGAGCACTGGCACACCTGCACTGTGACTCTCTTAAAGGCCCTTAACACCAAGATGATCACAGTGCTTTCACCCCATGCTCCTGATGACACAGAAAGGTATTTTCATGTAGTCGAACCCAAAGAAAACATCATGTCTTGCCTTTTCCAGAACACGGATTGTTCTGCAGAAGAACAATGTGACTTTAGTGGAATTCTGTGGCAAAACCGAGCAGTGAACCTTGTTTGCAGATACCTCCCTAATGCTTGTAACTACAAGAACATCTTCATTCTCAAGCCAATGCTGCTCCCTTTTTTTGGCCTTTCACAAACCTTAATGTTCCTAGCATATCTGGAAAACAGAAACAACAGTGCTGTGACAATGCTGGGGTTAGTTTCACTGGATTTCTCAACAGCAATCTCATCCTGAGTTGTTTACATCACTCTGCCTTGGCCCTCAAGGTTACTTATTTGAGCAGGTTAATGCTGCCCTGCTGAAACAGGTTGATGAAATGAACCATGTGAACACTAATCTCTTGTGAAGTGCTGCCTGGGCACTGTCACGAGTAGGCTGGAAAACAACTGTGTTTTTCTCAAAAATAAATTAACTCCCTAAACTAATCTTTATCCCTCTTAATAAGAAAGTACCATAGTTCTGCTATTGCTCACAATGAGGCAATAAGCCAGATCAGCGAGATTTACAAGGCAGCTCTTCATGTGTATCAAACTCCTGTTGGAACATTGCAAGTTCACTCATGCCCTTACATGTTGAGATGCCACTGAGGCAGCTTTGTGTGCAATCTCTTGTTGTTGGTTTATTTCCTAGCCTAAGGAATGGTGAGCAGTTAGTACATATGAGATAAGAATGTACAAGCAAACAATCTCTGTTTGTTTTTTCAGATAGGACCGTGGTTGATACCGGCCATTGGGAATTCAAGGGAAGATGACAGGCAGTCTGCTACAGACTTCTGAATGTTACTTTAGTACTGTTGCCCATAGTCAGCAAGACTAGTGTAGTGGTCACGAAGCCCATCTTGAGTTGGACTTTGCATCACTGGAAAGCCTGACTCTGATGTCTTTTTCTCACCTGTGATGTTTGTGCGTATCAGGCCATTCCATGACAAATGCTTGGCACTTGCTTCATAGGAGCATCTCCTGAGGCAAAGGATTGGTCCCCTTGTCCTACTCTCTTGGGACTGAATTTTCCTTCTTGGAAAGCTACAACAGATATCTCTCCCCTACGTAAGTCCCACATACCAAGTTCAGCAGCCTGTGTGCATGTAGCAGCTTGCAAAATTGGGCCTTAGTAGTAAGAGTGAAACGTTTTGAGAAGTGAAACAATTTGAGAGTGGCCCCAGGGAGCCGTTGCTTATTGCTTTACCGTAGTGTCCAGGACGTTCTCCCTGCCTTCCAAGTAGTGAAGATGTCATGTTACTCTCCCTGGCCCATGGTGTTTGTTAGCAATGATTTTCAGGCAGAGCTGATTTAAGATGCAGCATTTGTGTCCCAGTAAGGAAACCTCACACAATTCAACATCAAGCCTATGACTAAATCACTCTCTCCTGCTGTCATTTTGGTAATGATCAGTTACCAGTGTAATCTCCAGGCACAAACCTATCTTTCTCTTCTCTTCAATGCCCTTGAACCTTTCTTTATGAAGAATTCAGGACAAATTAGTTCTAACTAAAATTGATTCTTCAAGGGGAATGACTAGGCCACAAGTCCAAGTGTTTGCAGGCACTAGTTTTCTCTGACAGCATCGTGGAATAAACACATCCACCCCATCAGTACCCTTGCCTTTGGAAATCATTGCTAAGTCTGAAAAGGCATAAGTGACACTTGAAAATTCAGAACAGTGACTACAGAGCAGGAGTAGGAATCTCAGCTCCTTCATATCTGAAGCTCATTGAAACCAGCAGAATGGAGTGGTTAACTCCATCCAGCACACCAAACAAGTCTGCAACAGACTTTCAGGCACATCACTGCTCATATACAAAGCCATCAGGTGACAACTGTTTCACAAAGAGGTAAGGGGAAAGAAAGTTTAATAGGTTTTGATTTTGCTTTCACAAGAAACATTTACCATGCAGAGGTTTTAGCCAGTTTTGTAAAACATGAAATCTTGGAGCAGAGCTGTGCCCTGACCTTCTCGAGGAACACCTAGGAGGTGGTTATGTTACAAACGCTGGTTCCCTGAGATAATGTAGCAAGTGCTTTCTCTGAGAGCTGCCCCCCAAAATTTCTTCTCTAAGCAGTTTACCAAATGAGCTGTCCTTTTTCTCATAGCAGATTGAGCTACAGTAGTTTTCATTAAAATTATGCACTTTCAGGAAGGAATTTAAAAGTGTTACAAGGACAACCAGCACAGAATCAGGTCCATAACTCAAGGTTTAACAGGTCACACAGAGAAGACAGACAAAAATAGGGTGAAGAAAGAATTTATCTAGCTGTAGTTTTACTCCTCCCCTCAATCTCAATAGCCAGCAGCTGGCACCACAGATTTCAGTGTCATCCCACAGGCCTGGGCACAGCAAACTCATCGAATAGCTCAGTGCCATTGAAACAAATTCCTTTGTATGTGGAAAAACCCTGCTGACTGGTGTGACAGGGCCATCCCTTCCTGAGAAAACATCAACTTTGCTATTGCAGCAGCCAAGCAAGGCAATATGGGGCAAGGAGGATACCTCTCAGTAAAGTCACATCAAAGAACCACTCTTTTCCAGTAACCTGAAATGGAGAAACCACCACAGAAAGAAACACAGGTATACCTGCACCCCTCACAGGGCTGAACCATTGCCATTATTACAAGTCTGACAGAGAACTACAGCGAACATGAGTGTTTTTCATTACTACCAGATCACCATGATAGGACATAAGAGCCAAAGTAGACGAAAGGTATTGGCGCTGTTACCTCCTGTAGTTTTTTCTTGCAGCAGGCACAGAAGGGCAGCAAGGGTTAGTTGCTTAAATCATGGCCATTTTGAGGCTCTTCCAACTGCTCTCTTCCTTGGCTGCTGTGAAGTATTGGGCGTTTCCTCTCAGTGCACCACAGGGAGATAAAATAGTTTTTTCCTACTTGGATTTCACCCATCTCTCCTCTCAGAAGTACTTGCCATGCTTAGTCCAATGAGTCATAAAGAACACAGCTGTATCAGCTAGTGCTTTTTTTTTTCCTCCCAAAACAACATTAGAAGAGCTCCACAGTACACACTGCTCCAGGACACCTTTGTGACACCACCTGAGCAAACCTGGCATGGGAAGATCATCACTGGTGCAGTTTGTATTCTCTAACACTGACAGATGACTTCCACAAGAAGTCTGGGTAAGTTGCCTGCCAAAACCGTCTTCTAGCAGAAGACACTTACAAATAAAGCAAAATTTACTGTCCTCCCAACCTGATGAATTCTGGGCACACCAGAGATCAGCTTCAGTTCTCCAAACCCACCACTGACATGTTTCTCTTTGTTTAGATCAAGGTGATTCATATCCTGATAGCTCAGCTACCCCAAGAATAGCCATACAGCAGGAAGGGCACCTTTACACTCATCTCAGTGCAGTATGGGTTTTTTTCTTAGAGATTGTTAAGCATATGGATATAACATGAAACCCAAGCAGTCAAGCATTTTATTGGTTCTGTCCCTAGATCTTAGAAATCTAGCACAGTGATGAAATAGGTCCTTTTAAAATATTAAAAAAAAACAAACAAAAACTCTGAAATTATGATGTTTCTGACTAATCCAGACCTGATGTCCATTCAGTTTCATGTTTTGGAATTGAAAAAACAGATCCTCAAAAATAGTCCTATTATTGGTGAATACATGGGACTCTTTACTGGGAGAAGGTTAACATCAGGTAGATTCCACTTCCACATACTGTTTAAGAAACACTAGTGTCAAAACAAGCATCCAGGTTCACACAAGCTTTGCCATTTCCTCAGTACTTTAATAGCTGAGTCCAATGGCTTGGCAGAAAATTCACACACCTGTTGCAGACAGATAAAAATCAAAGCCTGTCAGAGCTATTTTAAGAACGGCTGTCTGAATCCAACAGCACTTGTATGGTAATAATAATAAACTCAAAAACATTTAAAACAAAGCATTTTAATAATTTCTCTACAACAAATAATTAATCAAATAGGCCGAATCCCATGTCATCATCAGATTCTTCAGATTCCTCTTTCTTCTCCTCCTTTTTCTCCTCAGCTGAAGGAAAAAAAGACCAAGCAAATGGTCAGTATAAACACTTTTTGCACCACAGATTTTCACGATACAAGTTTTGGTGATCTCAGCTCCCATATTATTGACACTTCAGTCTCCATGGTTCATCCCAACCCCTTTCAACAGCCAAATACAAACATCAAGGGGACACAGACACCATTGCAGGGATGTGCTTTATGCCACCAAGTCTGTTTGATTCTCGGTTCTAAGCCAGACAAAGAGCAAATGCTTCTGATTGCCCAAAGGAAAAGTAACTGTTGAGTTTACATGTCCATCACATACTGAACTGCCAAAGTGAACAAGCCTTGAAATTTGAACTAAAGGAGCTGCCCGTGCCTCTCCACTCATACTCACCAGCAGCAGGGGCAGCAGCTGCAGCAGGGGCAGCAGAGCCCCCTCCAGCAGAGACTGCCACCGCTCCCCCAGCTGGCATGCTGGCAAGTTTCCCGTTACCTGAGAGGGACAGAAGAGAAAGTAAAGTATTTACTCGCTCATCCCAAGCACAGAGGTCAGGGGAAATGGAAGAGAAATGACAGTGCAGAAAAAAACAGATCCTGTCTCATGGACTGAACCTGTCACTATTTGCTGAAAGGAACAAGAGACTGCATCCTGATAAATATATTCTCTGAGAAACACTCAGCAGTTTTAAGCTTCACAAAGGCTTATGCCAAGAACACAGACAGCACATTATTGGTAAGTTTTCTTCTGTACACAAAGTGCCCTATTTTTCCTCCAGAACCTGTCATATAAAAATAGTAGCAAACATCCAATTTTGCACACCCATGAAGACTGTTCTCTGAATACAGCACAGTAGCCCAGAAATTGATAATATACTCCTGAAGTACCATATTGGCAGCACTGGCTTTCCCCCCTCACCATTTTTTTTAAGGGTATAGAGAACCCTGAAGGCATGACTGGATCACACAGGAGAGAAGGGGAAAGACGTATTTATGGCAAAGAGGACAGTATTTTAAACAAATTCCCCAGCATGCTATGAACACTATTGCATCTCCTTTGAGACTCCTGATTTATGCTCTCATTTGGAAAGCCTACTAGTTCTCTGGCATCTGTCTTTCACATACCAAGGCTCCCTTGGCATTCAGAGGTCATGTACACACCGTGTTTGCCTGTATTCCAGTTTCTGGGAATCAGTTTCTAAATAATTCCGTGTTACTTCAAGCTCTAATAAAATAGCTAAGTAAACAAACATGTTTCATATGCATGTCAGTATGTCCTGACAAACAATTTACTTAAAGTATTATAGGAGGGGATAGCATAAGTGTGTTGTAAGCTCATGCATAATAGCTCTCTTAGGTCTTCAGATCACGTCAACATAAGTGTCCACGTGACCTCACAGCAAAGCCAGGCAAAGTCCTGGCAACCTTTAAGCAAAAATATGCCTAAAAGTTCCCTTGTGCCTACACACTTGCAAAAAAATAAAAATTCATTAATCAGAAACCTTTGCACTACCTCAGCTCTGCTTTACTTCAGCCCTATGACCCAGTCAATTCATGCTAAAAGTTCCATCTTTAACCAATTCATGTTAAAAGTTCCAGCTTTGTTAAGAGCACAAGTTTCTATGGAAATCAGCACTCAGAGTCCTATCTCAGGAAAAAAGAAATGCCAGACTTGAGGAGCTCTAGAAGAGAGGTGCACTGGAGAGGCTTGTGCTCCTCGCAGAGGGTGTAACTGTGCCCCCCATACCAACTCACACTGTGTTCTTTACTTTTTACATCATTAGTGCACACAAGTGGGCAAACACAACAAATCCAGAGACCCTGAAGGAAAGCTGACTCTTTCTCCAGTCAACATGTCCAGAAAACTACATCATGAGCAGACCACCAGTAAGCTCATACATGCTTAAGTTCTCCAGTTTAATGTGGTCCACAAGCGAAACCCAGCAGGTACTGGCACTGACCTGCAGGGAATTAGAATGGACCTGGATTTCAGCCAATTCAGCTGCAATCCAGCATGGAACTCCTCAACTGCAAAGCTAAATGGACAATCAGGGAGCTGGCAGCAGTTCCACATTCTCAGATCTAAGTTATCAAAGTTGCAGAGAGAATTACCTGTAACGCTCAGAGACTCTACTTACCCTGAGCAATTACATCTTCGATGTTTTTTCCATTCAGCTCACTAATAACCTGTGTAAATAAAGTTTATAAAGTTAAGAATGTTAATACTTTCAAACCAGCATGAGAATAAACTACATTTATTTAAGTTCTGATTAATCATCACATACAATGGCTACATCCTGATGTTTACACAGCCCCAAAGTTCTTTATTTCTCAGTGGAAGAAACAGGACATTGAAATGAAAACTTCCACCAAGTCTTTCATACTTTTCTGTGAAAGCTTTTTCAAGAAATCTGTTACAGTAAATTTATAATGAATCTACGGATCTTGCAGAAAGGAGGATACACAGATGTTGTGGAGCCAACTAGCAAACCCCACTGATGGTGTGTAAGTCACTGAGGGACTGTTAACATTTCTTGCTTAATGCCCCCTGGGAGGCTCTGGAGCACTGGGTCCTGTACCAAAAACCACAAGGTCCCCTTCCCAGCCTTACCAAATGTTAACAAGCTGGCTATTGTATAAAACACAAACCCAAACATTGCTAAAGCAAGCAAGTACTTAAAAATAACGCCCCAGACCTTACTGGTGAGTCCTGGCTATCAAGAGTCAGTGCTAAACACTGCTGAGTAGCCAAAGCCAAAGGACTTCAACCAAGAGTTTTCCAACAGGCACCTTCTGCTCACAGGGAGCGTGGGACACGTGAAACTCTGTGCCTGCGTTCTCGCTCCATCCAGGAGAAAGGTGCTTTTGAGACTTCACTACATTTGCACTGGCTTAAGATACAGCCAACGCAAATAGAAAAGGATTAATTATGATCAAAACAAATTCCAGATATTGGAGGATCAGAGAAAGCAATTAATTCATGAAGGTATTAAACCTAAACAAGACAAAGACATAAGACTTGGCACTTAAACAGGAGCATCACGAGTTCAAACCAACATCCCAAACCATGAAAAGGATGATGTCAGCTCAGCCAACCCATTGTCTGGTTGAGCCTCTGGTAAAACACTGTTTCCAACTGGGAAAATAACTTCTTTTTACCTCTACCTCCACATACAAGTACAGAGTAGGTGATAAGATTATTTTATTGGTTCTTTTTTTTCTTTTTCCCATGGCCACTAATTTTTTAAGTCCCCAATGCTGAAAATCTGTTTTATTACATGAAAATTCTAGTTAAAATATTCTTTTCTTCAAAAGTCTATCTTTCAACACAATCATTTCACCATTTATTTTCCAAATCTTCCTACATCTTAGTATCAAATACCTTTAATGTCCACGTTAGGATTTGCCTATGTTTCTTGGTGAAGAAACTAATGGTGCTTTGCAGCACACTAAGAATGTATGACTGAGAACCAGGCCTTCAGAAGTGTTAGTGCAGAATCAATACTGACCAGAAACTAAAATCAAACAGGACGTGCAGACTACACATGATGTCAGAACAGAACTTATTTTCAATGTGTACTCATTTGTAGCCACCATCTCACTGAGAACGATTAGACTGAACAACCAAAAGTCAGCAACAACTGACAAGAGGCCTTTGTGGAGGACATGTGTTGAATAAGAAAACTAGACTTCTAACTAAAGTTGTAGAAACAGCTGTGATTGGCTCAGTAGCGTTTTAGAAATCATACACGTAAGGGCCACCGAACATCGGCACAAAGTAAGGGCAGATCAACAGCGAGGCAACCGGAACACTGAAGCCAAAGGAACAGCTCCAATGTCTGGCGCTGGCTGGGACTCGACCACCTGGAATTAAGAGGCAACGCCACCTTGTTCATGCGTTCATCGTCCGTCTCGATGCCGACGCTGTCGAGGATCTTCTTCAAGTCCTTGGACGTAGGGGACTCGTTGCCCCCGAGCACAGCGAGGAGATAAGCAGCGACGTAACGCATCCTGCAACACAGGAGAGCGGCGTCCTCAGAGCCCACGGCCCAGGGGAGCCCATGCCCGCTACAGCGCTCTGGCTTCGCTTGCACAGGAGCACCCGCGCACCCTGCACTCTGCCCGCCCTCTGCCAACACGGAGCCCGCACACGGCGGTCCGGCAAA